AAGTGTAAAGAATTTGCCATGCACATAACATATGTAAGTACTTAAACCACACTCTGTACATATGTATGTATGTACGTACATGCACATGTACAGATTTGTTTATTACCATGCTCAGCCGGACAATTTTGCTTATCTAAGTAGGGGATTTGGCGCCTGCCCGAGGAAGCAGTAAAAGATGTATTTACAAATCGCATAGAGGGCTTTAGAAAGTGTTAAAATTGGCTCAAAATGACTAGTTGACGTATGTACATATATGTATACAAATGTAAATACATATGCTTCTACGCACGCATATCGCTAACTTAATAAAGAAAGGTCCTATCTAGCATTTTTGCTTCTTTGCAGAGTGATTAAACTACTTAATAGAAAATGAAGTAATTCAGCTTCGAATGCATTTATAAAAGTATGTATTTTAATGAAGTATGTAACTAATTTTATCCTATAGGAGTTATTTTGAGTTGCAATAAGACTTTATTTTGTAATCTGCCGACTGTTTATTAATAAAAAATAGTTAGGGACTTCTATATTAGGGTAACGATATTTATGTACATATGTAGGTATGTGTATATATCCAAATATTCCATCCGTACAATTCGAAGGCTATCAGAAACTAATATACGCCTTTGTCAAATAAGTGGAAAGTGTGAAAATTTTTTTATTAAAGCTTGATATTGCTTCTTTCTGTCTTTATTTCGCAAAACTTTATGCTTCGAAAGTGTAAAAGAAGATAAACAGATACGATCAAGTATCTAGTGCGAATAATTTAATAAATGCTATTAAATTCGTGCACAAACAAGCATACTAATTTGAATGCAATGAAATTGAACGTATGTACATACATACATACTTATGTAGGGTATTGCATACTAGGGTGATTTTTATTTGGCGACTATTTTTTTCACTCTCACCTGGAAACTTTGTGAGAAATATGTACCTAAAAAAAATCCGTGAAAATTTATTATACCATAAAATGCCTCTGAGCTGTAGGCTTTTTAAGAAATAAACTAAAATGTTATGTGTATTTTAAACGGGAAATCTTTACATGCCTCGGTCGAGTAGTTAATATCAAAATTAGGGGCTCAGATTTTCATGTATTTTTTCTAGGTATTTCTAACAAAATTTCGAAGTAGGAGTGAAAAAAATAGTCACAAAAAAAAGCACATAGTACATTCATATGTATATAAAATTTTGGTAGACAGAAGATCATCTGCCTTTTTCCGGTCTTGAATATTTCTTTTTTAAACTCACATAAAGTTGATAACAACTCTTCTCATGATTGCTTGAGTAGTTGTTCTTATTAAATGCTACTTAATTAGTATGTAACATTTTTGTATGCTACCGACAGTTTATCTACAAAATATTATGTTAATGCGTTTGTTCATGGCTGCTGAGCCGGCTACCGCCTAGTTTGCTACATTTCCATTTCTATTTCATCTATGCCAGCTCTTTGCTTTGCCGGCACACGGTGGATACCAGTACAATGGAAACTTGTTTTGTCGACATAGTAAATCACGATGAGTAACCAACAATGAGTTGCACGATCGTTATTTTTGCTGTTAAATGCTTTTTCTTTAAAGATTTTTTGTTTTTATTTCTGCAGTTAACTGGGTCAGCTATTTTACTTGTCAATGTGTGAGTTGACTGGTTATTGCACAAGCGTTATGAAGAAATTGCGGCTATCAACAATTTTTTAGAGGGTCACGTGCCTTTTTCTAGCACAAATAGTCTAACTTTTTTAAATGCTTAAACATTTATGGAGACAAATAACGAATAATGTGCCCTATTTCAGAACTTTCCTGTAAGATTTTAGCTGCCTATTGTTAAATTAAAAATGCAATAAGACGTAATAACTATTTCTAATACTAGTATTTCTGCAGCCTACAGGTATATACCTATATAAATACATATATAACTGTACACGTGTAAATTATGAAATTTAGAGTTTACTCAAATTATTTTAGTGGTGTCATTTACCTTTAAGTTCTGTTTAGTGACAATTGAGTGGAATCGCATACATCAGCATATAAATAAAAAAAAAAAATACAAAATTTAAGATATTAAATTTGGCATATAAAACGAAAATGCATGTAAGTATGTATGTATGTATGGATAAGTACGTAAGTTAATATGTTAATGCATGTATAAATATTATCAGAATGTAGTTATATAACACAAGCAAAAGCGAAAACACACATGAGCCACAAACCCATAAGCAATGTTGCAAAAGAAATATGTACATACATACATATGTATTTTACTTGGTACCCAAAAACCCTTAATTAAATAATTGAAGCTTTGCTACATACCTTTCACCACTGGCTCTGATACTAAAGTCATTTCCTCTTGCGGTATCATCTCCATCAGCCGCGCTATATCTTTAGCCAGCATATTGTCCACAATATCTAGCAAATGCGGTTTTAACGAATGGAATTTGCTAAAGTCTTGATGTTGCAGCACATCCTGCATTTTCTTGATATCGGGGAAGTCACCCGGTGAAATAGAGTGTTCCCGTTGTATGCGATCATAAATTTGCCCCAGATTTTTGATCAGCTCCTTCTTTTTGCTGTCTTTACCGAACACGGAAGGCATATCTTTGCGCAGTTCAGAAATTATGAAGGCATGCACCTTTGCCAGACGCGCACGCTTAATCAAGTCGTTGAGTTTGCGCAGTGCTGCATTACGTGGCAGTGATTGCAAATCACGAAAGAGGTCCTGCTCTTCGTCTTCGAAGAGGCGGCGATTAGCATCGAAACGAAGTGGTTGATCCCAGAAAGAACCGATGTACACCCGCGCCACTTCGGGAGTTTGCAGCACCTTACCCAAGGACCACATTAGGGCTCCGTATACACGCATAAGCTGCTGGTGATCAATCATATCAGCCTTATTGAGAATGATGCGTATTTTGTCATCGTGTCCTTTGAGCGCTTCGATGGAACGTCGAAATTCGTCGGAGATATCCAGCTTATGTGCATCGAAAAGCAGTATGATGCGATCTACACGCTCTGCAAACCATTCTAGCACACCGGTGAAGTCATATCCGCGATCGATGCGTTGTTTTTCCCCCGATAAGATACCGGGCGTGTCTACAATAGAGATTGCCTGCAAGACGGGTGAATTGAGAGTAGAGCACTGGAAACGATTTAAGAAGGCGTTGCCGTATTTGCTCAACGGACGGAATTGCTTTTTGGGATCGACCACCAACGCATTACCGGGTATAACACCTTCTTTTTCATCGTGCATTACTGCAATGAAGCGATCTGTAGTAGGTTCGGGTCCAATGCGAATACCAGGGAAATCACGCTCCAATAGGTATCGAATAAACGTCGTTTTACCGGTAGAATACTGTCCCACAAGCAAGATCATCGGCTTGGCATCGAAGTCAGGATCTTCAAGCTTCGGAGAGTGAAAGTCGTGGAACTGGTAATGCTCCTCCAGAGGTAGCAGTTTACTGCGATAGATTTTTTTAAGTTCTCCCACCACATTTTCTACAACCTCTTGATTAGCTTTTTCACGTTTCAAAAAACTAAACATTTTGTTAAGATTTTACACAACTATAGCGAGACAACGTTTCACCAGCGAAGACTTCACTACACAGAAAGGCTGTAATATGTAATTTATAAAAAGAAATAAAATCACTTTAATTTGATATTTGCAATCCCGCTTATAAGTTATATTAAACAAATGCGCCCCAAAACAACTCGGAATGAATCACGCACACGCATACAGATTTATTTTTGGAAAAATTCCGTCACAATTTTCTTTCCCACTTGCCTCACTGCCACTTGTAGGTACGCTTATATACTGGGATTTGACCGCGTTTATTCGTAGATATTCCGCCCCAAACTTTTACAACCAAAAGCAACAATTCACACACCGCCTCATGCACTCTTTCCAATTGGACTAATGAATCACCGCCTGCCTAACGACCAATGCATGTACCCAAATGCAGTGTTAACAATAATTTGGGGGAATGAAGTTGAATAATTTCTCCTTTAATTACCTCTTTTAATTACATTCACTTTTCTGTCTTTCTCCGTCCACGAATCTGCACAAACTCGTCACTGGAAATTGGTAAAAATATGAATAAGCAAACGTCATCCGCTTTTTGACATTCCATAGTGACTTTCTAATTGGGAGCTTTTGACATTAGCCAGAGTGGCCAGCGCACAAAGATTAAGGCGATGCCACCTGCAGAAAACGTATTGTCTTAGAACGTAGTTTTTAGCGGGCGATAAAAAATTTCCGTTCGGTGACGTAAAGACAAATTTATTTTTATCAAAGAACGTAAATGTACATTTACGTTCTTTGTTTTTATGATTTTTTGTATCTGGCATAACAAAATTAATTGTAAGTGTAATCTGAGTTCTTTCAGCTGTTGAACGGAATTCCATGCATGCGTGATAAGGTACCCTACAAGAAAAGGACCTTTTTTCTGACCACTTCACTAACACACTAAAATATACACGAATACACAGAAAAACATTAGTAAAAATAACCTTAGGAAATACAATAAGTCGAAAAGAGACCTTTTAGCAGTGCTGGTAAAATCCCCATGTGAGAAAGGGACGCATAGTCACATGTACACAAAAGAACTGGTCAGGTTTTTCATAACGGGTGATTTTTTTGAGGTTAGGATTTTCATGCATTAGTATTTGACAGATCACGTGGGATTTCAGACATGGTGTCAAAGAGAAAGATGCTCAGTATGCTTTGACATTTCNGTTACCGCAAGACCTGAGCATATTTCCGGTCAAAACCGGTTGCGTCAGTGTTGGCAGTTACAAGATGTATGTAAAATTGTTAATGTTGATACACATACATGTATGTATGAACCAAACGGAAAATATGCTGGGATTAAGGACGTGCGGTCCTTCCCCATGCCCTAATTTCATTTGCCTTGTGGACAACACTGCCACAGACACTAAACTCTTGTGTGTTCTATTAGCGCCATATTTGAAAGCATGCATTGCTTATCACTCAGCTAGACCATAGTAACTCCAATTCGTACCGCTGTTACCATGACGCCATCATATAAAATAGCCTTGGAGGTAATTCAAAAACCTACATACATAGTGTTCACAAATGCGCCATCATACGTATAGAAGATTGTTTGTGGACGTGCGCAAAATATGATGCGCAGTAGCGAGGCAAGGTGGTGCATTGATACTGATGCTGTGATAAGCCATTAGCTTGGGCCGAAAATCCGCTTTTTTAGAGTTTTGATTGGTAATAGCAAAAATATAGTTCATTATGCTCTAAAAAAATCTGTGGACAAGAGTAAAATTTTTGGTCAATATCTTAGGCTCGCCTAAGTCCATCAAAGTTGAAGTGGTAACAAAGAATGCTTATTTCGATTCTCTTCAAAAATGGTCCATATACCAAATAATGTAGACTAATACTTTCGAAGATGATTGCAATTTTAGTAAAAAAATGTGTTAATTAATTAATTTTTTATTTTATTTTTTTTTTTGGCGCATTGAACTTTGATGGACTTGGGCAAGCCTAAGATATTGACCAACAATTTTCATCTTTTACACAGATTTTTTATAGAGCATAATGAACCATATTTTTGCTATTACCAATCAAAATTCTAAAAAAAGCAGATTTTCCGCCCACGCTAATGCTCATCCAACTAGTAAAAAAGAATATACATAAGTACATATGTATATACAAACATATCGGAATATGTATGTAGTACTTATATATCTAGCTGAACGTGATTTGGCCTCCGCTTGGCATTGACATTGTTGTCATAGTGAAAGCCATTCGCCGCCCCCATTTAATTAGAGGATTGGGAGTATTTACTCGCAGGGGTTGGCGGAAGTATATGGCACAGCATGAAAATGAAGAACAGATGCAAATGGACTTCTCGTACGCCTGCCATCGTTTGTAGTTTTTGCGTAATGTGAATCAATGCAAATTGGCGGGGGTGTTGCTTTCATTTAGCAGGTGTACATATGTATATAGATAAGTTGGAAGCCATTCTAAAAGGTTTATCCAAAAAGGGCTGAAAAAGGGCTTCCCTGAATGCCTTCTTCCTACTTATAATTTACGCGAATGTATACGGTTATTTATTTAGCATTACAAATGAATTTCATAATGCTTTTTAGTTGCAATAAAACATATTTGATAAGGACCTTAAATAAAAACATAACGCACGGAAGTAAGTTTTATGAATGGAAGAAGCAGCTTTAGAAGAATTGCTCTGAACACCCTTCTGAAGTACGTAAACGGAAAGCCCTTTAAATTTTTTCCACTCCATACAAAAAAGAAAGGACTGTAGTGTCGAAAGCTCTTGACTCTCAGAAAGACATTTTGGAAGGACTTATAGCTTCTAAAATTAACTACCGGGATGTAGCGGGATGTAAAAAGTGGTCGCCAGTGGTTAGGAGCAGTGATAATAAGCCAGACATTACAGGAGCTAATTCGTTTACAATACATATATGCGTTTCAAAAACCATATACTAACTAAAAAGGTGGAAAGAAAGAAACTCGGAAAAGAGAATGCTTACGATGGAACGAAAGACACATTAAAAATAAAATTTTATTAATTTCTTTTTGGTTTTGTTTTTTGTTCGCATTTTTAGCCTTCAGTTTTGTCGCGCTTTGCATCAATAATTTCAGCATTTTTTCTTGCTTGCATAACGTAATTAATATTATATCTTAATATCAGCATATCGTAAACCTTTTAATCCTTCTTTACGGGTTCTTTTTTGTGTGTTAGCATTATACATAATTAATTTTCATATTCCATATTAACCTTTAGTACTTGTATATAGTATTTGTGTATGTATGTATTTACTCGTATGTATAGGGGTAGGTAATTGTTACATTATACTTGTAAATTTTCATTACAATTATTATTGTTTTAATTCATCGTAATTGCATCAAGTTGCATATAAGTATGTATGTATTTATTTATGTATGTATATATTTTCAATACATTATTGTTTTTCGTTTTGCTTAGCCTTTTCATCTACATATATAAGTATGCATGTATGTATGTATATAATTATTAAATCAATGTTTAATTTTTGTTTATTAGTTCTTAATATTTGTTATTCCAACATGAGACTGCTAAATCTTCTTTAGCATTATGCATGTAGGTAGTAATTATCCATATATCTTCGTCTTATCGTGGGTTATTTACGTTTAGGTCTTTCATTCATTGCTACGGGGCACATTGCTATGAGACAAGTTGCCCTGCAAAACTGTTTATTGTTATCAGTTTTTAACTGATCGGTTTTCATTATGCTTTCACGTTGCTATACCACAAAATAAAATGGACAAGTTCTTCAGCTGAAAAAAAGAATACAGAAAATGAAAAAAATAAAATTAAAATAAAAGCGAATTGAACAAGTATTTAGGCCCGTAATCTTACAAGTAGTCGTAAGCTAAATCAGATTCCAGTTAAAAAGATTTTGAATAAAAATTAACCAAGCACTATTAAGAAGTTACTACATATTTTAATAAGTTGTGTCAGCGGATTACTTACAAACATTTTTGAAAATAAGTTAATACATACATATGTATGTGTGGAATTTGTATTTATAGGAAATAAAGAGACTCCTAAGTGATATCGCTACTGGTATGCTTATGTATTTCAGGTCAAATTTACCGAGATATTATTTAATTGCGATGCATAACTTTAACTTAGAACGTGCTTTTAGTTTGTAGGCATGTTCACCTTCTTTAACTCGTAACGCCGTTTCAGAAATAAAACGTGTTTTGCTTGTACTATGACAGAGTTTAAACACGAGTTTATTTTACTATACAGATATAATGTGAAAACTTGCTTCTAAGTTCTTTATGATGACGGGCCAATGTTCAAGAAAAAAGGTTGATAGTAAAATCAGGAAATTAAAAAAAAACCCCAAACAACTAATGGCAAGAGTTCTACTAATTGACTTTCAATTTACTTATCGATTCGTCAACAATTTTCTTATAGAAGCTCTTTATAAAAGGCAACAAACTTTCGTAAAATTCTCCATCGCAGTAAGCTATTTAAACAAGCATTCGAGCGGCCTTTCTGCCAATAGCCATATAAAGTTTATTTCAAGCAATATCTTTCAAAACTGTTTGAAACCGCACTTCCAGCGTTGGAGCCGTAATACCCTTGCGTACATTTGGCAACTTAAAAATGAGCTTATAGAACTTTGCTTGTCATATCTATTTTATATATATATTTTTTAACAGCTTGGTTACAGTATGTGTTGTAACAAACTAAAATAGTATTTAACACAGCAAAAATTGTAAGTAAACCCTATACATTTTCTCTTTTAATCCACCGATAAATTTTGCTTTCAGTTTTTACGTTTTTCTAGTTACGAGGTTTAGCTTATGACACATCTTGTTTTTTTTTTTTTTTTTTTATTTCAGTGGTCTGTTTTCTTTTTAAATACAATATATGTAGTCCGAATGGGTTTGCTTTCTAGCTCGCTTGTTTCTTTTTTTAATTTTTATTTTATATTTAGTTTAAGGTCTTTTCAATAAATGTATAATGTATATTTAAGGTATTTAGGAATTTAGGAGCTACTGCTCTCGTGTTTCTTTGAATTTATTTTATAATTTTTTTATACGCTTTTTTCTTCGCCTCGAAAACATATATACGATTTATGTAAGAGTCATAATAAATATACACGTATATAATATTACTGTTTTATACTTAATAAATACATATACATATAAATATAAATAACAAAACAACATACACAATGAAGGTAAGTTAAGAGCAAGAAATGGTAACAGGGAATAAGTTCGATCGTGTATTCGTAGATGGTGTGTGGGGGGTATGTGATGACTTGAGAATGGCAAAAATGTTAGGGTGAGTACTTTATCGCGATAATTGTCGGATAGGTAGGCAATAAGATAGGAGTTACATAAATACTCATAGTAGCACAATAAATTTTCTTTTTCATATTAATTTCAAACATCATGTTAAAAGCTTCTCGTTTTGGAATTGAATGTAATTGAAGTATTTATGAATTGATCTTTGAAATCTTATAAATCTTAATCTCCATTGAATTTAATAGTTATAATAAATACACATCTCAAATTTTGCGTTTTGGTCTTAAATGTTTCAGTGGAGTTTTTTT